TATAACCGTAGGGTTAATATTTGATTTCCCTTGGATATGGTTCCATCTTCCCAGTGTAAATCGATAAACGTAGGACTTGGGATTGACTTTTTTAATCAAGAAAAACGGGCATTAATTGCTGGTCCTGAGTCCAGGTGGAATGGCCTGGCTGACGTTCACAATTTCCAGTTAACAGAAGTCAAGGTGGTACCAAATTAAACCAGTGTGTCGGCTTGTACTATGGAATTGACAACATCATGTTGAGCAAGAAAGACCAACATCATTAACTACGTCAGTGCAAGATTCCAAGTGCTACCATTAATGAGTACATGAGGGGATTAGACCTCAAGCCACAGAACCGCCCATTTATTTTTTCTTGCTTTTTATCACTTCTCAGAATAGAAAGTAGAAAAACCGAAAGGAATGACATTAACCTCAAATGTGTCCCTAAGCTTATGACATGTAGTTTTTCCAGCTCAGCCTTGGTATTAATTACCTGTAGGAAATTTGTGGCCAGAAATACTTGCAGTTGTCAACCAGAGCTGAACAAATTCTAATTGAATTGGAGATATTTATTACAGATTAGGCTGCTTGATTATCTGAAATGCTATACATTGGTTCCTCTTTATGTAGTTGTTGAAGTTGCAATCTGAATCCATGGCGACAATTATTTAAAACCTATGCTGCTAGTTTTTGTCTTCTTTTTCTTCGAATTGGAAAGCTTTGTAACTTTATTGTTTGTCTTACATCCTATTCATAATATTGATACTTTTTTCTACTTTTCAAACGAATAAATAGAACCGAACAAGATGTGGGTAACATAACATCTGACACCAGAGATACAGTGAGACAGATGAGGCCCTTCTTTGGGTGTTTTAAAGACATTGTTAATACACTCTAAATGCAAAGAGAAAAGCTAGTATATACCAGCAAAAGAATAAATGCAATTAGCTTATGTAAAGAATTATTGTACAAAATTGTATATACCACTGGCCTGCAGACTTGTCCATCTTTTCCAACCATCCGAGCAACAAAAGGCTATCCAGTTCCACATGAGTCAAGTTGCTGAAAAGATGGCATTGGCCAAGATTGTCTGACCAGTTTCTACACTGAAAAAGAAGGAAACAATTAAAATGGGAATAGGAGATGGTTTATCTATTAAATAGACAGTACAGGCGAGGGACAGGACCAACTGAACAGGCATAAAGATTCGCATGAGTATCATTTGCTTGCCTTGAATGCAAACCAGCCATTTCTCTAGCCGATGATTTGATGGAATCTATGACTTTCTATGGCACCTGTCAATGTTATGGCATATTATAAGCAAGGATACTTGCATATCAATGATGACTCTCCATAAGATCCGCAAGAGTTATCTTTCCACAGCTGCCAGCATCCAGCCTGTCAAACTTCTCACAGATCTGCAGAATGTCTTTCTCTGATACTTTTCCCATCTCCTTGAGCTTGTATATGACAAACTCTGATTTACTGCATGCATAGACCAATATTAATACTCAACAATGAATCAACTAAACAACACATCAGTTCATGACAAACGAACAAAAATTAACAACACTGAAGATGAAAATGGAATTTGAGAATAAGTTAGGAACTTTAGAGATGATACAAAGATATTGGTATACAAATGACTAAGAATGTTTTAAGAATTAGAATTGCTGAGGATATGCAAGAGAATAGAGCAAAACTATATCCAGCAACCAGCATCCAGTATTCTAATGATGCTTAGGACTTCAATCATTGTTACATAATCATAAGCTTTTGCACTCAAGTCCCAATGAACGGCAACAAATGACAAGTCTGCAAGATAGGAAATAAATCAGGTTTTCTATCCAGTGAGCACTGAGATTGAGAAACAGAAGGCTATGATCTTACAACTGCAAACACCTTATGATGTAAGCCACTAAATCATTACCTATCACGGGAAACAGAGGGAAAGTACCAATGGATACCAAATTACTGCATCAAAGAAGCAACTACATGCTGATCTTGGTTGTAATCATCTAGACTAATGTATAAATGGTTTAAAGAGTCATAAATTTTATTCCACGGGTAAACAGCATTGGTTGAAAAAACTAGCGGCATAATAAGAAGCAGCACTATAAGATAATTCAAAATGCAAAAGGCTTCAGTTTGTCCCCAAGAAAGTATCTCAAAGGCGCTCAAATTTGTAAGACACAATTCTGTAGTCTGTTCAAGGCCTCAAAAAGTAACAATATCAAGTTAACTCAAATACTATACCTTAATACCAAATTACTGGGATTGGTTACTTGAAAATTTTTTGTTCTGCCAGTTCATGCCAGATCTCAGAAAAGAAAGGTGCCATTCAGGCACATCTTTTGTAGTGTTTTTGAGCAGGTCATGTGCAAGGGATAATAAACAGTGAAGATGACAATCATAATTTGACTGAGAAGATCATAATAGACATAGCAGCCAGAGTAAATCAGAGAAGGCAGCTTTGGCATCTAAAATTGCACACACAAGGGAGATACATCATTCAGACAGCAGAATATAGAGCAATTCCAATAAAAAGGGCCTTGAAATAAATATCCACTTCTAATTTGAGAAGTAATGCATCAAAAGAGTTTAGGAACTAAGAATCTGTTATTTAAAATTTGAGCAATTGAACGAATATTATACATGAAACATATGAAATTTATCATGAATCCAAACTTAGCTCTTCAAGTTTTAGTTAAATACCTTAGTTCATACCCTTTAAGCTGAAACAAAACTAAAATCTATTTTCCTACGCAATAAAATGTCAACTAATGAACTACAAGGACTACAGCAATTACTGGGGAAAGGAGGAAACTAGAGCAAGGGTTGAAATAAGTATATTAACCTTTTAGGTAATTGCCTCAACCAATAAGTTTCAAGCATACAACCATTTGATAACAAGACGGAGATAAACAATTAGAGCATGAACCAAATTAATAGAAAAATTTATACCTCACGAAACCATTGTTGTCCATATCAGCAGCAAGAAACTCAGCTACAGTCATGTCGTGACCAAGCACCCACTTTGCCATCCTCCTATGCCTCTTGTCTACTCTAGCCTCAGCCAAATAAAGAAATGCCCGAGCAACCGCGAGGGTTGAAACAAGCAACCATATAGCAGCAAAAATCCGACCAGGCAATGTCTTAAACGCTCGATCACCGTAACCAACGGTGGTAACCGACATAACAGACAGATAAAATGAATCTAACCACCCAAGACTCTCAACAAAATGCATAACACCAACACCAATTCCAATACAAAGAACCACAACTCCTAATGCCAATCCCACCTTCATTCTTATCCTCATTCTCCCCTTTTTCACATCGATTATATAAGATCTGGCGGAGTCCTTTTCACCCTCAGGTTTAACAGTTCTCAACAAATAATTCTCTTGCAAATCAAGTACATAACTAACCATCCCGGTAAGCAAAATATCAATAAAACCAAATCCAACCAACACAAATAATATTGAAAACAACTTGGTAGCCACACTATTAGGAGTAATGTCACCATATCCAATTGTGCACATTGTGACAATACAGAAATACAATGCATCAACGACAGGGTGAGTTTCATGAGCCACAAAATTACGACGATTAAACCAATATATAACAACACCCAATGATAAATATAATACTAAAAGAATAAATGCTTGTCTTACAATAGATTGGGAACCAAATTGAGGCTTGGGAATTGAAGGATGGAGGACATCATTTAAAACTGCCATGGCTGGCGCAGTTTTGGACCGGTGAAGATTGGTTTTTTCCCATTTGAAATTTGGGTCTATTAACCATGAAGCTGTTGCGGGTGAAATTACTTGGTTTTGTTGCAGAAGAGGGTCTTGGAGATTTATAACGTTTTCTTGAGAAGAAGAAGAAGAAGGTTTGGTTGAGTTAAGGGATGAAGTTAAGGCATCAAAAATTGGAGATGGTTCGATTGGAGAAGAAGAAGAGGAAGGAGATGGGCCAAATATGAGTCTATCTTTAAATTCTGATGGGGTTAAAGGGAGAGGGAGAGAGACTTCATCGTTTTCTGGGAGAGGAAAGAGGTGTGGCGGTGGCGGTATATTCTTTCTGGGACTTACGTACGGAAGCAAAGAATCATTTTCCATATGGAATCGTCTGATGAACCAAAAAAAGAAGAAGCAGTTATTGGAATATCGGTTGGTTTGTGACGAGAGAAAGACAAAGACACGGTGGTGCGGATATGAAGTGGAAAAAATAAATGAACAGGGAACCGAACACGTTTCCTTTTGTTGTCACCAAAAGGATCAAAGTTGTTTGAAGTACAAAAGTATCAACAAATCCAAAGCTTGCGCGAGTAATCGTGCATTTGTGTGCGGAAGATGGACGAACGAGCCAGAGTTTGATTCGGTTTAGTCCTACAGAAGTAAAACGAAACATCTATTTTACATCTCACGTAGACAAGGATTCCCAGGTAGAAAGTGTCACTGTCTCCGCAGTTTCTGTGACGTCTCTTTAGATATGATTCGGGGAGAGGAATATGCTAAAGGCACGCGCTCCTTCAGAAACGTGCCTGACGGTGTGGAGGTGTTTGCGCTAATCAAGGGAAGGTTTTCCTTCTGATTCGGTCACAGTGAAAATCGATTCGGCCACACCGGCAACAGGCATGCGAAGCTGTTCTGTGGTCCGGGTTACAAATTTTTCTGCAATTTGATTAATTTAGAGCCGCAAAGGACAAAGCAATGATTAATGGCTATTAGTATAACCAAATCTATTCGATAATGGCATCAAAGGATCCAGGTGATAAGATTGTTGTCTTTTGGTAGATTATAGGACAGTTTTCCAAACATAGTCCAACCTTAATGTGCTGTTAAAGTATTGAAAAATTGAGATTGGATACTGTTGACCAACTTTGTCTGCTACTTTGGGTTGCTTAAGATTTCACTAAACAATAGCATATTACTAATTGATTGAAATATAAGAGAAAGAAAGCCAAGCAATTACTTTATAGATGAAGCATTGGTTGGCTCAGCTCTGGCATATATACTCTAGTTGCAAACCATTCTCACACAACTCATTAAACTGTAACCCACGACCAGGTTTATTGCTCAACAAAGCACAACACAGCATTGCAAAGGAAATACAGTCTCAAATATGAAAAACCCACTAAAAGTGGGTCCATGAATTCCATAAATATACAACCATAAAAAGGCAGTGACTCAGAGATTTGTGACGCCCAGGTTTTCACATTTGAACTAATCATCATCATCAAGAACACTCCGTCGCCTCTGGATCTGAGAAATCAGATTGCAAAACAAAAGAAGAAAATTCAAAATATTTCAAACTATGAACTGGTGTAAAATTAGGCAAGCAGTAACATGTGATGACTTACTGTGACTTTAGTCTGTTTAGTTGTTTGGGTGTTTATCTGTTCCAGCAGTGATATAAGCCTCTCTTCAGAAACCTTCACATGGGTTCAACCAAACACATTTTAGAGATTTGTTAAGCTAAGCTACAGTTATGGGGCATAACAATTGCACCCCTTAATAGCAATGAGACAACTTTCACCACACCTTCTCAACTATCTGACCCATTTGAGCAGCCCTTAGTAGAACATCCTCAACGCCCCTTGCCTTCTCAGGTTTCACCAAGGCAATTCGAGCAACTGCATGAGATATATATCAGCAAAGAACATAACTGACAGGGATTATATGTAGGAAAAAGAGAGAGAGCAGAATGTGTATGACTATAACCCTGTATCCGTCCCATATGCCTGCCATTGATTCATTCTTCTCTTTTTCCTTCATCACATCATCATATTCTTCTTCTCCTTTTTAACCTTTTTAAAGAAGAGGGAGGGAGAGGGCTGTGATGGCATAAGAATATATCACCGGGTTTTATGGAATATTTGTACTGATAGGAGTTTGATACAAAGATAAAACCACATCATAACTTTATTAAACTTTCCACCAAAAATCCTCAGGAGAACTGAACCCTATTCAATTCAGATTTTCAACACTTTTACATTTTCAAATCTCATACTATATAATTCAAATCCAAGCTGTGCCTTAATCATCAAAGAGAACAGATCAAATTTGATTTTTGACAGAAAAAGATGTTTAGAAATCAAGATCTTCCCCAGCATCCTAACATCTTTGCTTGTGGGAATTCCAATTGTATGTCTCCTACAATTTTTAACACTCCAGACCCAAGTTAGGTCTTTTTAATATAAATAAATACTAATAAGCACACTTTCTAAAGCATATAAGTTCACCATTCACAAACGTGATGACAAACAGACATCTTTAGACAAGTAAACTAGTTTCAAAGGTTTAACAGGTGCATTCATATCTAGAAAATGCAACATTAAACTTCATAGTCAGATAAAATAACTTAGAATAGTATGCACTTCCTTGTAAGAATGCACATACTACAAACACACAAGCAATTAACTGCAGGTTTCTTAAATCAACTCAAAATGTGAATTGAGATACAAACTTACCTCTTTCACGAGCTTCAGAGGACAAAATCTGACTGAGCATCATTTGCCTTCGTTCATCTGCCTCCCTAAATTAATGGCTTTTAATTGTCAAATCGATGATTTGATTGAACCCAAGCAAACTTCTTAAAACAGAGTACAATTTAGAAACAAAACGAATCTACAAGAACTGACCTCTTGGCATCTTCCTGAGCTGTCTGTTGATCAGGGTTCTGTTGATTCCCCTGTTAATCAGTGAAATCTAATTAGTATCATTAAGTTAAAAGCCCAAGCAAGCCAACTATACTTCATATAAATTAAATGAAGATATAGATTATCACCGCGCCATGTTGAGCCATTAGCTCTTGCATCCTTCTTTGTCTAATAGCTTCTAGTTCAGGATCAGCCTACAAAATTTAGAAAAATTAGAACCCAAAATTGCACGAACTTAATCTACTTACATTAGACCTCAGAATTACAGGGAATTAGCATTTATCAACTAACAAATTAACCTAAATTTATCCCTTTTCTCACTAATTTAAAATCCATTCTACCATTACACCAAAAGAAAAGTGAAAGCTTTAATAAATCAAGTAGTAAGGAAATTTCAAACAAAGACAGGAACAAGAACCGCAGGAGTGAAACCCTAATGAAATGTTTGGTTGCTGAGAAATTTTAGTAAGAAAAGAAATGAAAATGAGAAGAGTACCATGGATCGGAGAGTATTAGGATCTCCTCCTCCTCCTAAAAGCAGGTTAAGGCCTTCTTCACCGGAGAGAGAGTGAATAGTGTTTTGAGCGTTTGAGATCACAGCAGGCTTTAGCTTTAGCGGGACGCGATCCTTGTCTCTAAAACTAAGCCCTTCCTCACTTCTGCGGGGTGGGCCCCACGCCGGTGGTTCGATTTTCCACTTTTTTCGCTTTAATCTTGGCCTTTTATTTATTTATTTTTTTTTTGAAAGTGTCATTGAGTTGGGCTTGCAAGGGCTCAGTGAGTCGAGTTTCTTTTGAGCCCAACTCATAGAGACATGATCCAACTTGACCCATAACTTTAAACCTTTAGTAGAGTATCATATTCCAGTTTTAGATTAAAAATAACAAATTATTCACTAACTGCATTAATATACAGAAGTATATGATTTTTCTATTTTTTTAAAAAAAAGGGTTCGAATTTCTATTTTTTAAAATAAAAAAACAAATTGGCCATAAAAAAAAAAAAGAAAAAACGCTGTCGTTTGAATTATTTATGTCATTTGAGGGATAAAACTTGAAGAAAACACGCAGGAAAAACGTGGTCCAATTTTCCTAGAAGTATTTTCTTCGAGGGAGTTCCACTTTTAGAGATTAAACTAGAAAGAAGACAAAATGGAGGTTCTTTTCATCGCAATAAGAATGCAATTCATTAATCGTTGTCAACAACCTGACAATGAAAGATTGATTGAATTAAACCAAGCTCAACGTTCGAATCCATTAACTAAAATCCCAAGGATCCAATGGCTGTTGACATCTAGGAGCCGATGCTCTGTTGAATCATTGTGCTTTGATACTCCAATTTCTTTGATCTTTTACCATGTACATTTTCAGGTAACACTGATGAGTGGTAAAAAGGAAAAAGTAAATGGAAACGTAGCAAATAGTAGTGAAGCTTTCCTCGGCGTCATTGTCAAGTTACAACAAATCCCAGAACGAGGGGGACAGCTCCCCAAATCCTATTGTTTTAGAGGTAAAACAATATAAAATATGCATGCGATTGCTCTTAACAAAACCAAGTAGACGATAGATCCCGATTTCACGTGCCACCAGTCTTTCCTCCCATTCTTTATATATATATTCATCACCGAAGGTACAATGTCCAGCAGGCAGCACAGCAGCAGCGCCTATTTTTTTCACAGTCGCTGACTACTGATCCATTCCATTCCATGCAAATTGCAAGCGAGTAGCGACAGCTCTTTTCCTGTTCCGCTTGGATTCCTATCAAAATCGAGGATTGTATGTGGGGGCTTCTGTGACCCCACTCGTGTCTAACAAGCGGTTCACATTCAATCTTGCAGATCAAATTTGAAGCGCTACCCTACAGGAGTATCACATCAGCTGCATCTGGTCAAAACCTCCTTCCTGAAAATGCCCAAGGTTGTGCGAAAACCAAAGGGAGAAATTGAGAAGTGAAAATTGAACTGAAACTAGTAAAAGCTCCGAAATCAAGACCGGACAAAACATGAAGTAACTAAGCAAAGCACCGAGATCGAGAAAAACCCAAGACTCAAAGCACATCCTAGTTAGCAAAGAAGTAGCGAGGAGGAAGACCGGAATCAATGGGTTTCACCATGGGCTTGAACTTCCTTCTCTCTTGGCCATGGTGGCAACCAACATCCTCTCCCTTTATCACCTCTCCTCTACCGTCCAATCTCCCAAACCTCCTGCACCTGCCCTATCCCGGACCACCTCCTCCGCCAGCTGAACACCATACGCGCCACCATCAACGACCTCACGCGCCATAACCCTTCCACCGCACCACCACAGCGAAACCCACCTCCACCGTACCTCAGGATCTCCTCCTCTACTCCCAAATCGCCCCCATTGCTTCTTCCTGCCACAACCACCCTGACCTTCTACATAAATACATGACTTACACTCCTTTCTCAATCTGCCCTCATGATCCTGACCTTCAAGAAACGCTTATTCTCAACGGTTGCCACCCACTTCCACGTCGGCGTTGCTTCTCAAAACCCCTCAAAACCCTCTTCCTCTCTTCCCTGAACCCGTTCCCAACTTCCCTCCCTGATTCTTCTGTAATCTGGAACAAATACTCATGTAAATCTTTTGCCTGTCTTTTACAAAACAACCCCGTAGGTTTCGATCTCAACGCTCAACGGTCTTCCCTGCTAAAATACTCTTCTGAACTCGATCTTCCTATCAACCAGTTCATGCAATTGGCCAAGTCAGCCAATTCGGTGATCCGTCTTGGCATTGACATAGGCGGCGGAACTGGAACCTTTGCTGCTTTAATGAAAAAATTCTACAACGTTACGATGCTACGACTACCATGAACGTCAATGCACCTTACAACGAAGCCGTGGCCTTAAGAGGGTTGGTGCCTATACACGTGCCGTTGCAGCAGAGGTTGCCGGTTTTCGACGGGACGATGGATCTGGTCCGGTGTGGGAGGGCGGTGAACAGGTGGATACCGGTGAAGGTGATGGAGTTTATGTTTTACGATGTGGATAGAGTGCTGAGAGGAGGAGGGTACTTGTGGGTGGATCGGTTCTTTAGTAAGGGAGTGGATCTGGAGAAAATTTATGGGCCATTGATTGGGAAGCTTGGTATACGAAAGTGAAGTGGGCAGTTGCTAATAAGACGGATTCAAGTGGGTTGAAGAATGGGGAAGTTTACTTGACTGCTTTGTTGCAAAAGCCTGTTTCAAAGTGATGTTGGGAATTGAGGAATCATTGATTTTTTGAGGTAATTAATTAACTTAATTCCTCTAATTTGGTGCTAAATTCCTTTCATAGTTGCACTGGTAATTTCGGGGGAAGTTCTTTTGTTTGTGAGAAATATAAAATCTTTTTCTGTTTTGGGACTTGAAACACTTTTACTTACTACTGCATTTTAGTTGTTAGGTGGTTATTTGATCTGAGGTGAAGGTGAGGCATTTTCATTGTGTATTTATAGTGACAGCATCCTAGTAGTTGAAGACTTGAAGTGAATTTTTGTTGTCCTATGATACTAAATTAATGAAAGTGCTTCATTTCTTGCTTCACCTTGAGGCTATGGTGTACTACTTATAACTTTTTGCATCTAAATGATAGCATTTGCATTTGATCTAGTATTTAATTCAAGAGCCCCTCCTAGTTTTTTTTTTGGGGGGTGAATTTCATCTGATTTGTTGCTACAAGTGATCAGAGTGAGGTCTTAATATGTGAGAAGAAGGCCTTCGATAACAAATCACCTGAAACCTAAGTCCACTTCTTTAGTGGTTTGGACAATGTTTACTATCTACTCTATCTGATGTTGACTTTTTGAAACCTGAATAGTCCTTTGAATTTTCAAACTGTTGAAGCTTTACCTCTCCCTCCTGAGCCTAAACTTCATCTAAAATTGTTTGACTTGGCTCTGTTCCCACTATCGAAAACCAAATGCATATTTCCAGTCCTATTAAGAGTATGATGATACGATTTTGTTACCAGAGTTTAGTATAATATAGTTGGGAGTTTGAATAATTTCTTTTGGAGAATTGAGTTATATTATTTGAAAATTGAATTGTGTATCAAGTGTAAAGATAGGAAGGATCACTGGCATGTGAACCGAATACAGCAAACGTTTGCCTTGTAGTTTGTGCACTGGTTCATGTTCATTAAACTTGTTGATCTCCTTAGAAATTAAACAACCAAACACTTGAAATAGTTTGTTGCTCATATTTCATTTAATTGAAAAGTTTAGTTTGATGCATGTTGAATGTTACCGTAGTTTTTGCAGTCCGAACATTGCTAGGGTTATAATATGGAGCGATTGTGTTTGGCGTAGATTAATTCCTTGAGGTTTTCTTGGACAAGATATCTGGATAAAGCTTTTAACATGTTTGTCTGCCCTATAAAAGCGTACTAGGTGGGAGGCTAAATTGCTTCTACTTCACTTTTCATTTGTTCCATTCTGATTGTAACAAGTGAACATCCAATGTTTTCCAGATATTGATGTCTGATCACAATCTCATGGATGCCGGAAATGCCACCACCTATTCGAAGATTATTGTCTGCACTCAGAAAAGCTGGAAACCCTTGCTTGAGTGACAAAGCAACTTAAATCATTCCCGCTAACGTGGATTGGGATTTCAGCAGCTTCTCAATGTTGTAAAGATTGTAGATGTGCAAAAAAAAAAAAAAAAAAACCAACAATTATAGGCAGTGGAGGGTATTGTAAAATCACAAGGTTCTCTCATAAAAGTGGTCGAAGTGGATGGCCATCATTCATTTTTCAACTACTCGTTATAACATTTTGTTGCTGTCTATAAATATATGTGTAGAACAATCACCAAATAATGGACTTATACCTTTCTTTTATTTATTTTTTGGCTTAGGAAGCCAAAAAAGAAGGCTTTCTGCATGTAATGTATTGAGAAGCATGGATTCGTAGCATGTTAAACGGTTTTAGTTGGAGACGCAGCAAAAATAGTGTTGTCGTCAATGATCCACTCAGATTTCAGTAAAGTGGGTGACAACTTTGTTGGGGCAGCCATTACCACGCTTCTTATTGACCACAAATGGATACGTCTAACTAATCCATCAATGATAGTTACTTGATATATATTAAAAAAAGAAGCAATTTAAAGCTGCTGCCTCTTCTGTCTCCACTCCCACCAATCGTTATGCAAAGCATTATATCCATGCATGATTCGACAAATGCTGCTAGGGTTCCAAAAAGAGAGAGAAATTGAGAGGCATGGCCACCAGGTTTAGTCAAGGATTCCAGCATTAAAGATAAAGCTCTCATTTAGAGGCAAGACTAATGCAAAGAGCAAAAAAAAAAGAAAAAACATCCTTTGGAAACTCATTAATTCTATAAACAGTTAATATAACAAAGCATTAACACCAAGTTATGGATCTTGACCACAAACATTCAAAAAAGAAGAAGAAGGAAGTAGCCTAACATTGTTGTTTCTGACTTCTAAACTTAAACACTGAAAAGAAATTTATTTGCGCAGATGGTTTGATGTTCAAGAGCTTGCAAAATTTCTGATGATCTATCCAGCAGTAACCTTCTTTCTGAGGAGATGATGCAGGTCAAGCCCATTGATCTTGGCGGCAAGTATGAAGTCATTTTCGGTCAGTCCACCTGTTCAAGAGGAGCAATCTTGTTTGATATATATTGAAGATATTAGCAGTAACAAGTCAGAGAAGATCTATAACCCTTAGCTCCAGCACACTTGGATAAAGTTTGCCAGCTCTATCCCAGAACCCATTTTAACATTAAATAGTACAGAAAGTATTGATCAAACTTGATGGCATGCCTTGCAACTTATGCAAGAAGCGGAAGAGTTATGCTTCTCTTCATGCAGGAATTAAATAAAGCCATGGTATTTCATGAACAAAGAAATAATAGATAGAAATCATCCTTGTTAGAATAGTCTGTAAAAGTAAAAATTGCAGAACAAGTGAAAACAGACAAAAAAAAGGGCCAAAATGAAGAACAGAAAATGAGAGTATTTCCATGGACAAGATAATTCTTACCAACTGCATGTGTCCATATATCAACTGTTACATTGTTCCATCCAACAAGATGAAGATCTGGATGATGGCCTGCATTAACCACAACACTTTCACTCATCCATGTAAAAACGAAAATCTCCATGTAAGTCAATTACACAGTCATAATCTCCCACTAGAGATCTGCATTGAGTAAAAACGTTGTGCAAAGTACCTTCTGCTTCAGCAATATCAGCTATGAGCTGAAATAGCTCCAATCCTTTGGTGAAACTCTTCACTTTCCAAGACCTTTTTAGCTTCAATGTACCACCTTCATTTACCAAACTCCAACCATCTACCTGATCAAAACTTCAATGGTAAAGAAATTTTGGTTTATGTAGTGAAGAAAATTAATTAACAATTAACAACATACCTTTGAAATTAGTTCATTTGCACTTTCTTCAGTCATGGGGCGTAGATCCTTTGAGTTGCATGGTACACACTTCTTTGTCAACAAATCTAAAAAGTCCAACAAACCACATGAGACAACAAGAACCATCCATCATGATCAAGTATAATTTCATAACAACACATCAACCATCAATGATTGAATATATAGTACACAAACAAGCAGACCAAAAAGTATGGAAAAGAAAAGTAACCATGTATCAGCCTACACTACAGGTTTACTAAAAAGCATGGTCTCAGGGAAAGTCTTTTTTTTTCAAGGAAATGGACCATTTTAATCACACCTCAGATAGCCAATTTATTCCTCCAACATCTGCCAATGAAGTTCAGTCCTACTTTTCTAAACTCTGGATAGTCAAGATGATGCGCAAGATCATATGGAGAGGCAAGACAAATGGATATTTTAGGCCCCAACCATACGGGTTTCACAAAGAATTCAAAATAAGAACTAAAGTGAACCAAAGAACTAAGATTACATTGTTTTGCCACAACTGTCCATTTAAGACTAATGAAAAAGCACTCTGTTTCACAAAGTATAGTATGTCAACATAGCAAAGCCTCACTTAAGCCTTTATAACCAACCATTTGAAAAATGTAAACAATATATTTTCCAGAATTTGATAATTAAAATGCTTCAGTTGCCTCTTCCAAAAAAAGCAGTCATCAAATAAGAATTCAAAAAGGGCCAGAAAGGAAGGTCTTAAATCTTTGGCAAAATGGTATAGGGCATGATAACGAACACAAAGACATCGCATTGATTCCAAAAGAAACAGAGAGATAGTTGTATGCAGCTTTGCATTTTATCACTGACGTTTCAAAATGGCCTGTGGTTATCACACACCTTTATCAGTGCCAATGCAAAACGTTCTAAATCCATAAACCGGGATCCTATTTGATGAAATTCCGGTACGATCAGGAAGAGTCTCAGTCACTTGTGTACCAAAACTGCATATACGTAGAAAATACATCTTCATACAATAAAATTCTCTAACAAAGGGCAGATTAAACAAATTATTGAAAGAAGATTTTCATTACTATTGTTCCAATATCTACAAATCAATAGAAAATAAATGAACTCCAGCTAGATTATACGTTAGTATTTTGATTTTTGTTACAGTACCCCCCATACCCCCTATAATAAACTCGATTTTTATATTTAACACTTCGCCAAATATCTGGATTAAGAACTTAATTGCAATGAAATGAACTCGCATCTACCATACTATAAACCAAAAAAAAAAGGGGAAAACAAAAATGTAATGATTATATACGCTGATAAGCAGCAACACAGATTCAATGATCAATTAAAAAAATAAACTTTTCAGGGAAATTACCGTCCATGAGGTCCCAAAAGGATTTGATACGATGCGAAACGCACCTGAAAAAAATAAAATAAAAGCAGAAAATTGGAAGGAAAATGAGAGAGGAAGAGAGTTCTGAATTGATGAGTAGGTACCTGAGGTTTAGAGAATGAGAAAGGAGGAGTCCGTAGCGTTCGAATAATCATTTGGTCAATCTTGAAGGTGCTTGGGTTTCAATTCCAAACCCAAAACCACAGTCCCTACTGTTTCGAACAGAATCAAGAAACGCCTGAAACTTTGCGCATTCATTTCAAATATTCGCCCCAGAAGCTTATCGAAAATTTTTATTTGGTCCCCAACTTTTCCATTATCCCACCCTTTCCCTTGCACTTAAAATATTTTATGAATAAAGGTTCCGACACATTTGTTCTTACTAAGTATATAAAATGGAAAAAAATTGAAATGTTTAATAGAATTATTTGTAACATATTTTTTTAATTAAAAAAAATAATTGGAATAAAACTTATATTTTGACCTTACTCAAATTTCAGTTTACCTGAGAAAGAATTAAGATTTTCTAATAATTATGTTACCAAGGAAATACAATTTGTTTAAGAAAAATTAACATCTCTATTGCTAGTATGGTGTCAATTGTCCAATTAATTGGATAATTACCTCTTTAACTTAATAAGTATAAAGTATTAGGGCCAAAACAAAAATACTGAAAACAATGATGCGCTTAAACAAATAATTTTAAATTGATGGTAATATAAATAAATTGCACTTACCTATGTCCTCCCTCGTCCCGGTCTTGTCGCTTAAAACGGTCACAGTTACAGCTTACAAATAACATCTGTCAAACAAAAATCCGATCTTTTCCGAGAAAATCTTGCCAAACGGGAAAAATATGGTCAGCTTCTTTCTCCTTCTTTATCTCTTTCATCTACGCACTCTTTATGTTTACATTCTACCAACCTTAAGCATAAAAAAAAAAAGAAATCTAATTTGCGTTTTAGAGATCTGCTTGGGCTAGAGTCGATTATCTCTAGCGCAGATCTAAACTTATTTGCCTCGGATTTGAATTTAATTTCCTATATGATTTTTATCTTTCGAAGAGTTAGACTCAGATCCAAGCTCTTTCTTTTAGAGTTAAAAAATTATAGGCTTTAAATTAAGCTCAATTGGAGAGCCAGAAAAGCATTTTAAAATTGAAACTAAATCGACATTATAGTAGAATGTAACTTTTTTTTTTAATTTTTAATAAGCTTGCTTAGTGGAATCCTTTGTTATTTTGATGAAAAAGAAAATAATTCTTTTGTGAGCTTTGCTATTCTGGTTTGTAGGAGTTATGCCCTTCAATTAAAAACATCCTTCTTTTGGATTCGGAGGGGAAACGAATAGCTGTTAAGTATTATTCAGATGACTGGCCAACAAACTCTGCTAAGGAAGCCTTTGAGAAAGCTGTTTTTACCAAAACCCAAAAGACTAATGCCCGTACCGAAGGTAAATTAGTTTCTGCACTATGTTTCTTGTATTAATGCTTTCATACATTTTGTTAGGAAAAGAATAAATGCTTCCTTACATTTCGTTTGATTGGAGTACATTCATTATATCGAATGGATGATTAGAAAGGTTGAGAATGGTTCAATTCTTCGGGTTTGATTATTTAAAAGGCCCTTTGCTTGTCGTAAAGGGTTTTCTAGGATGTATTGTTTTGAAATGAGTTTTCATTGATTTTATGCGGGTGGTTGAGAAAACATCCTGGTTAGAATTGGTTGGTTGTTGGTTCATACTGCTACTTTAACATGGCGCTGCTATTTTTTGTTTACAGCTGAGATAACAATGTTTGATAACTATGTTGTCGTGTACAAGTTCGTTCAAGACCTTCACTTTTTTGTTACTGGAGGTGAAAATGAAAACGAGATTATCTTGGCCACAGTACTCCAGGGGTTTTTTGATGCAGTTGGAAACCTCCTTAGGTTTTTTTCATAATACTTTCCACTATTAGTATCTTTTGATACATATGTGTTTGATATTTTCATGCCTAATTTTGACTTTCTTTCCCTTGCTTTCACTACCCATTGTTCCAGGGGCACTGTGGACAAGAAGGAGGCACTGGAGAACTTAGATCTTATTTTGTTATGCCTTGATGAGATTGTAGATGGCGGGTATGAATTATCATTCATTGTAGTTGATGTTGAATCAATTTAGCTTCATGAATTTCTCAGTGACATTTTCTATTAACAATGTGGGAGAGAAGATTAGGCAGAAAAACATGAAGGACAGGAATTAGATTTTTTGTTCACCCAATTATGTTTGGATGTGTTGGATGAAAAAAGAAAATAGGGTAAGATATAGATTCAAGGGAAAAGAAAGATAACAGAAGATGGTGATCCTTGGAAAATAATGGGAGTGTGTGTGTGTGTGGGTGGGCGGGGATGCTCATCTTGTTTGATTGTTTCTATCTTTGTGCAGTGTCGTTCTTGAAACTGATGCAAATGTTATAACGGGGAAGGTTGCTAGTCACAGTATAGATGCTGGAGCTCCTTTGTCTGAGCAGGTATTCTGTTCTTTTTAGTGCTTCTACTCGTGATTATTTCTTCCCCCGGAAAGCAGAAGTGAATTCTTTAACTAGTGAAATATCAATAACCATTGCTATCATATTAACGCATTTGGTTTTTCTCCAGACAATAAGTCAAGCATTGGCTACTGCACGTGAGCATTTTACAAGGTCTCTCCTCAAGTAATGCATACGCCCGACCAAAGGAGAGAAGCCAGAGGATATATCTTTTTGTAATGCTAGTTATACTATACTTGATGTGCTTAGGATGAAAGTTTGTGTCATTTTGGGTGCAATGCAATTATCCTTATACTTTGGATATAACATTGATGTCGTGGCAATTTTGCTTGCTTGACATTAGTGGGTGATGATGCTATTTGGGCTGCTAACCCTACATAATGGCAGAAATACATTGCTATGCCTTGGTCAAGGTGTATATCAAGTTGCTTTTTCTATGATTCAGATTTTAGATCTCTCCTTCATACCAGAAAATGAATGCTTTTTTGATCGATTTAGGTTTTTATTTCTTCATTCATCATTTGTTGTTAAAACCAAAAAAGCATATATAAATGTTTGAAGGAACAGCAAACAGATGATTCAGTATGAGACAACAAAATTTTATACCCCAAATTATTAAAAAAAAACAAAATTATTCTGAAGGTGGTCAACCATAGGGGCATTATGACCATTGTCTCTAGTGTCTCTGACCCCCATTGCATCCAACAAATAAAGCATATGAAAATAATTACTTAGTGGATGTAATCATACATCTGTGCTACAAAATTTATCCCCTTGGGCTGCAATTCAGATGCTAACAAATAGTACACATTATATAGCTTGAGTGGTCATATTGTCTTATTGGATGAGCACATAATCTGCATCATTAAGGAATGCATCTCCAGCAGTTGGAGTCAAGTTATTTCGATTAGTACTTTTGCGAACCTGGACGTGAGCTTCTGCCTCATGTTGGAACATTTTGACCAACTCTTGTAACTCTAGCACCCTAGCTTGCACCTTCTCTTCATTCACGGGCTTTTTTAATCCCAGACAAAGCAAGCCGATCACAATCAGCACAATTCCTATGAAGGTGAGGATGGCTGTAAACAAACCAAATGCATATGGTGTATTCTGTGCTCCAGGGATCCCATCAACATTGATACCAAACAGCCCAGTGATGATAGTAAGAACAAGACCACAACCCCCAAAAACACCCAAATTATGAGTTACTCTAAGGCTTCTGTCCTGCATTAATGTAATTATTAGTCGAAGAAAGTTATGGAAATCACTCCAGGAAGAAGGGGAAAAAATGTGATAGGCTCAGAAATTGATGAAATTCATTTATTTTTCTGTTTTGTGGACACGAACCTGCAACCATGCGCGAACAGTGCTTTGCATAACATCTTGAATTGTAAACAAACGGCCACGGACTGCTTCTTGCTCCTCAACCATTTCCCTTGTGCTCTTTCTTATTCCCTCCAGCAGGGTTCTTGTCGCATTCCCCCTCAAATGTTGTAGAAGCTCAAAAACAATCTCCTCTCTTGCGTGAAGTGACCATTTCACTCTGATAACCTGAAATGGTTAAAGACAAAATTCATGAACATACACTGGAGAAACCATAATCATTTTCCTGGAAGAGACCATCAAAGACTTCTACATGCTTATTGTAGGGTTTCTGACTTATAGCACGTTTCACATGAACCTGATGCCAAATTATGGGTTAAAAAATTACAGAGACTTATCATTAGAGGTTTGCATTTCCAAGCAAATGCAATTATACATACAACATAAAGATAGCACCACCTAATTACCAGAGCAGTACACATGAAAATCAGTGCCAACAATTTAGAATGTGCAACTTCAGTATCCGAATAAGTGTGAGCAGCTAAGCTTTATCCTGACAGTAGTTATGAGCTCTCAAATTTCCACCCAGACAGAACAGACTATTCCACCAAACCATTTTAGATTTGTATTCCAAATAGAATACCAGAATTGTCAATCAGCAAGTAACTATGCTTGTTTCTAAAAACCTTCTGTCTTACAAAAGAACTCGGCATCATGAAAGATTGTATGCCTCTGATGAAGTTGATGAATAAGCCGTAAGAAATATCATTAACAGCTATGCGACTTTTCAATAATTAGATACTAATAATCTTTTTCCTATTATGATGATGGATGTTGTTCCAGCTGAGGAAAGTAGCAGACCTGCCTTGACAATCTTCTGATTTCTTGGTTCAAAATTACTCCAAAAAGATTCATATCCTCCTGGTTTCTCCTATTCACAAGAAAACTCTTTTTCACTAACATTTCCTATAAATTAAAATATCAGAAAAACTTTCTGCAGAAAATGTTCTATGATTTTAAAAGAAAGAACCTGTTCATAAACTTCAATTCAATCTCATCTGCTGCACCGAAGATGTATTTACGGAACAACCTTACAAATTAAATAGTAAAAGGGAAACAATAAGTTAGTTCAAGAACCACATAATTGTGCCATAACAGTTACCATATGGGTCATGCAACTTACAAATGCCTTCATTGCACCGAAGGTGAATAAACTACTTTCATACAGAATGCAACCATGACACTTTACTTCCAATGACTTTTGACTTCAATGAAATTGAAATCTTTCTCCGTGTAAAATTATTGACTTATTGAAATATTCAATTAATATGTACCAATTAACATCCTTCCGAACATCATGATGCACCTATTAGACTTTGATACACAGAGAAAATAGATATGTCTGCCTCAGAGTGGTGCAACAGATGGCAATCACATCCATTCACTTGATTAGGAGGGAACATTATAGATAGGTGAGTGAAGCTGAAAATGAACAAGTAAACTACCTGTCATCCCACCGTGTAAGGCGGCAAGCTAGATATGCTATGACTTCATGCACTGTTCTAGGCACATTATGACCTCCAGCAGCAAGAAGCTCCTGACCAAAAGGTATGTAACAATAATCAAGTAAGACCATTAGCTTACATGTCTACAAAATCATAGCAACTTTGTCACAATGGAGTCCATTATGGTTTGTCAAAACTGAACAACCTGAACTTCTGTTATTCCCAGAACATTTACGCTAGATACATTCCCTTTTATGTGCAGTACAGTTAGGAGGAAGTTTTGTGCTTGCCATGACCGGAGTACAACAGGGATGTCATCTTCCTCAACAAATGGATCCCCAGCTGATTGTCCCAATAGCTCAAATAACAGCCCTCCAGCCACCCTAACCGGGACCTTTATAAATAATGAAATGCACAATCAATTATCCAGCAAAACCAAAGACCATAACGGAGCAGGTAGGGAGGTGCCATCTGAGGTCCCATATACTAATTATCATGTATGACCAGAGGACTCAGAAAAAACTTCTCTTATGCACTTAAAAAATAATTTTAATAGACAAAATAACCAAATGTTATCTGTTATCTATTACCTGTTATTCTCATTAGTTAAACCAGTTATAGGTGCTAAACAGCATTTAAAAGAAATTAGCATAGGAAAAATGTTCCTAGTTATTCTCTTCTTCCTTTCTTCTCCCAGTGCCACAATGTGATATTCTATCACCCATTTACTTGAGAGAATCAACTAGTGCATAGCCCAATTTAACTTAAAAATCCTTTAAACAAGATTTAGGGGATGCAATTAACTTTACCTACAAAATGACAAGTTTAGTGGACCAGTACCTCATATAGAAGGTGCTTCATCCGCTCGCTTATCAGTCTGCTTTCATCTCTCAAAGCCAGACTGACTGCAGGATGTAACCATTGAGCATTGTTGAGCCAAGCCACAACATAGGGATGACCAGCAGCCAAATGGCACCACCATATTGGCCCTGCTGGGCGCTCCCAATAGGGAGATGCTAACTCTGCAACAGTTAAATCGTCTTCGTTATCCATCAACTCAAACTGCTGTGAAGCCCATCCTGCATTGACTTGCACATTTTTGACAAGTTCTGATATTCTTTCCCACCCAATAGGCACCCAACAACTTCCATCAAATCTTTCCATAGCATGAAACTGACCAGATTGGAGGTTCGGGCCATCTCTGTATTCATCAAAAGAAGCAGCCACATTATCCCTTAATTCACAACTGGAAGAGGACTTCATTATTTTCTGTCCATCCAGTCTTGGAGAAGAAGCCTCAGTTAGTCCATTGGCTGGCATTTGCACCTTTAAAGATTCATCATCTAATCGTTTGCTTTGGACCCTTGAACTGTATTTTGAGTTCATTGGTTTCTTATGGCCTCGAATAAATTCAAAAGCACAAATAAGCCCATCAGTCCAAAGATCACTCCCAGGCACGACATCTCTACTTGGAATATGCTTATGTCTTTCTGGCATCTTCATTTTGTTCTTTTGAGAAACAGAGTGATCCTCCTTCTCACTCATGATCAGTTCTGTCTATAAACATCCAAGGGAAAGACTCACAGAAGCAACATAAGCCAACATTTAGACCATTACCCAAAGCTAACTCCTTGGCACCATCTAGTTTCCGAGACAACTACATTGAACGCTTAGATTATTCTGAAACTCAAGCTGACATAAAAAACTGCTGAATTAGCTTTGTAATCTATCCAAGTAACCTGCACCATACACAGTCAAGAACAACAAAACAATTATACAAATTCTATTATCCAACGATACAAGTTGCCTAACTAAATCATTAATTCTACCAGCTTACTTTGAATCCAATCCTCCACTTTCTTTATGCTAAATATAATTCAGTATTCAAACGAAAAGCCTCAGGAGTATCAACCTACCCTCTACGGTCTAAGCTCAACTACATGTCAGTCGATTAGTAACAATTTCAACCTCCAACTTCCCCTTACTTTGCCATTATTTGTTAATAATATTCAAATTTCCACTCAGCAAAACAATTATGGATATATGAAAGCTTCTAAACAGATCAGAATATTTTATGATCGATGTCATTATTAAGAAAATATAACTAATTAAATTCTTATTCACCAGAATTGCAAAAGTACAGGAATAAACTAAGAAGAGCGCCAGGGGAATCGTCAACGGCAGCTGGAGAAGATAAAGCAGAATACCATAAAAGCCCCCATAATCCACTATCCTTTAAAATAATTTCCCCGGTGTTTTACTCGTGAGAGGTGATCGCCATGGTATATTGCAGATTAAACAATTAAAGAAGAAAACAATTTAAAAAATAAATAGATAAACCAAGAACACCTGAAATTGAGATGCCGTTTGAGCCTAAGCGGAAGGAAAAGCTGACGACGGAAGGGTCCACTTTTATAATAATTAAGAACTTAAAAGCGAAAACCCATAGATAAAGAATACATGCGCCAACAAGAAGAATAACAAAATGGTCGGAGAATTTGGACTATGGCTAAAAGCTTCAATCGCCAATTGGTGCTCTTGGAACAAGCCGCTGATTCTGGATTGGGCGAAACGCTGAGTTTCGCTCAATTGGTCAACGAAAACAAAAGCCCACTTGTTAAGGTCCAAAAGGAACAATCAAGATGACCAAGACGATAGCCAAAAAGCCCAACTCTATCTCGCTAAAACTGAGACGATGAACAGAGGACAGTGTACTTACTGCCCAGATTAAAAGACGAAGGAAAATGTTCATTGCTCCGGCCAATTACTAGGTAAGATGAATAGATTAGCAAACGGAGTAATTTGTTTAGAGGAACTGAGAATGATAGTCCAAATACAGTAGTGTTGACTCAGGCTGTGCATTCATAAAACTTTTCCCTCGGAAAATTTGCAGTTCCTCAAAAGCAATATCCTCCACTTATCAGCTAACATTACTCCTATCAGAAACAGGTGTTCTTCTCGAAAGCATTATTCATCAATCTTGAAATAGAAGGGCAATTAACAATAATTAATATAAGGAAAAAGGAGTAAAAAGAAAAATCCTATTTGACAAGCATGAGTGTGGTTCTTCATGGGTGAAATCAACAACGTTTAAGATGACAAGGTGGACTAAAAGCAATAAACTAATATCTAAGGGAAGAATCACGAAGGGGACTGTATATGAATTTATGCATTGCTGCATCATATATACAGCAAGAATGAAACACATATAGAACTAATAGATTCTAACATATAAAATAGATGAACCAAGTTATCATCAGACTCTATTAGCTTTTATATATCATTCATCTCTGTAACAACACATAATGAATTAATCTTCAAAAAATGATATTTGTATAATCAAGTTGCCTATTTGCCTTTAAACAGATGGTGAAGGTATGCCAAACTGATTTCTTAAGAGTCCATGGAATAGTATAAATATTTTGTAAAAATAAAATAAAAATATTATTATATAGTTAGGTCGACGAGATGAAATAAAATAAAAATTGTTATTATGATTTATTATAATATTTGATCGGTAAAAATAATTTCAGAATCATTAAAAATAGATAATAAAAAGATAAAAAAATTTTGTATTATAATATATAAATACATATTTTTATTTTATTTTTTAAATATAAATAATTTATAATTTATTAAAAATATTAATAATTTAAATATTAACATTTTTATAATATATAATTAAAAACTTAAACTTTTTATTATAATATATGATTATCTATTTTTATTTTATTTAATTTTTAATATTCATAATTTCTAATTTATTTAAAAATTGATAATTTAAATAATTAATATTTAGAAATATTAATATTTTATTTATAATTTAATAATTAATATTTTTTGATAATTTAAAAATTATTATGATTAAAATATTAATAATTGTTAATTAATTTTTTAAGTTTAAAATATTAAATTTTTATTAATATATAATTAAAAACTTAAACTTTTATTATAATATATGATTATCTATTTTTATTTTATTTTATTTTTAAATATTAATAATTTATAATTAATTTAAAATATTAATAATTGATAATTTAAATATTAATATTTTATTTATAATTTAATCATCAATAATTTTAATTAATTTTTAAATTTACATAATTATTTAACACTCTTTTTCAAAACAAAGCGGCATGATAGATACCACTTGAATTTGGAAATTAAAGCAAATTATTAAAATAATCCTTCTTCAACACACCACATGGCAATGAAATAATAAGCCACGTGTCAACACCTGTACATGAAGGTCTCGTTTTGACTTCCTTATATATAGAATTATAAATAGTAGTCATTTTATGAAAGAGATTTCATTGATTCCTCAAAAATGAAATGAAATTTAATATCACAAGAAAGGGATTTTATTGATTTTTTTTAAAAAAAATTTAATGTTGATGAATTAACAAAAGACAACTCGAGTCCAATTGCTTGTGATGGAGTTTAAAGGATTCATATACCTTAGTCTCTGGAAAGAGTATGTTGAACGGATGTTTGAAAGTTGAACATAAATAATATTAAATCAATTAGCACTCATTTTACCAACCACTTCAAATTAGGTAAAAATTGTGTTATCAATCACACAAATTGGGTTGAAGCAAAATGTATATTTGATGTATTGTGATTTATTATTGAGTATATATTTACTTTAGAAGTTTATATCTGAACTCTTTAAACTATAAAAATATTTTTTTTATCAATCACACAAATTGCTCCAAATAATAAAAAATATTTTTATATATTTTTTTTATAAATCACACAAGCGTGTATTGTGACAATCAAAATGGTAGAAAAAAAAAACATTCATACAAAACACATTCACACGAATAATGTTATTGAAAAAGATTCACACAAATAAAAATATTATTGGTCTATGACTAAGGTGATTTGAGCTAGCGTCAACCAAGTCGGGATGAATTGAAAGTGAGGAGTGTAGCTTATATATTTTTATTTTATTTTTTAAATATAAATAATTTATAATTTATTTAAAATATTAATAATTAATAATTTAAATATTAACATTTTTAAATATTAATATTTTATTTATAATTTAATCATAAATTCTTTAAAATATTAATAATTTTAATTAATTTTTAAATTTAAAATATTAATTTTTATAATATATAATTAAAAACTTAAACTTTTTATTATAATAAATGATTATCTATTTTTATTTTATTTTATTTTTAAATATTAATATTTTATATATAATTTAATCATTAATAATTTTAATTAATTTTTAAATTTAAATTTTTAGTTTTTTATAATATATAATTAAAAACTTAAACTTTTTATTTTAATTTTTTTTTATATATTTTGTCTTTTTAATTTTAAAAGCTATTCCCCACCCATGTTCTTGGTATTAGATATTTCTTTTACTAAAAAAACAAATATTTGCCACGATGAATTAGGGGAAAGGATATCAATATAGAGGCAGAAGCTCTAGGAATTCCTAGTATTTTTATGATAATTCTTCTTCATCAACTAATAGCATTGTATTCTAATTGATATCACTGAATTATTGAATTTACACAATTATTTAACATTCCCCTTCAAACCAAAGACGTAGGGTAGATAACACTTGAATTTGGAAATTAGGTCAAATTAGTAAAATAACCATTCTTCAACGCACCACATGGCAATCCAATAGAAAGCCACATGCCAACACCTATACTTGAGAGTCTCGTTTGGACTTCCTTATATATAGAATTATAAATAGTAGTCATTTTATCCATCATAAGAAAGAGATTTCATTGATTCCTCAAAAATGAAATGAAATTTAACGTCACAAGGAAACGGTTTCATGTATTTCTAAAAAAAAATAAAATTTAATGTTGATCAATTAACAAAAGGCAACTCGAGTCCAATTGTTTGTGATGGGGGTTTAATGGGATTCATATACCTTAGTCTCTGGAGAGAGTATGTTGAATAGATGCTTGAAATGTTGAACATAAATATACTAAATCAATTAGCACTCATCTTACTAACCAATTCAAATTACGCAAAAATTGTCCGATCAATGAACAAGAGAAAAATGTATCTTATGATTTGCACAAGACGTGGCATTATAGTGGTTAGATTTATTTTTAATCATAGGGATATTATTAAGTGAATCTACAAAATTTGTAAAGGTTTAGTGATGCACAATTCTTAAAGCTTTTAAGAGAGGCTGTATCAAGACCCTCCAAACCACAAAAATGTATTCTTTTATCAATCACACAAATTGGGTTTAAGCAAAATGTATATTTGATGTATTATGATTTATTATCGAGTATATCTTTACTTTAGAAGATTATATCTGAACTCTCTAAACTATAAAAATATTTTTTTATCAATCACACAAATTGCTCCAAATCATAAAAAAATATTTTTATATATTTTTTTTATAAATCACACAAGCCTATATTGTGACAATCAAAATGCTAAAAAAAAAAACATTCATATAAAACACGTTCACATGAATAATGTTATTGAAAAAGATTTCACACAAATAAAAATATTATTGGTCTATGGCCAAGGGGATTTGAGCTAGCGTCAACCGAGTCGGGATGAATTGAAAGTGTGGAGTGTAGCTTATTACTCGTGTAAGAAAGAAAGTAGACTGGAAAAGGTTCTTTGCCAAGAAGTAATAACTAATCTTACCAATGTAACGCATAGCCACATGAACTGAAAAGTCAAACAGCAATTAATAAATCATGAACAAAACATTCTAATCGTTTTTTAACTAAAACAAATAACACAAACGGAGTGTCGAATGATGTTTGCCTAATTAATGTAAATTAACCCATCAATCCTTACAAGGGGGCCGGCGACAGAGAGGACACTCCTGTTTTCTACACAGCCATTCCATAATGCAGTTGTTATGGTACAGATGACAGCACGGTAGAGCTAGATGGGAATCAACGAACAGACTCTCTAAGCAAATAGCACATCGTTCATCCTTGATGTCGTCCGAGAGCGATAAGCTATCCAACTGATCTAGAGCCATGTCGATTTCCACCACCACATTAGTCATTGCGCACCCGTCAAAATCTAACTTCATCAATTCACTAACCAACCTCCTGTCTATTTCCTTTTTGTTCTTTTTATAGCTGCCAGAAATTTCGTTTTTTTCTAAAAGCCGGTTCATATGCTTGCAAGATGTGCGCCAGTGTAATTCCACTTGCTCCAAGGATGAGGTCACTATTTTTACCACCCTAGGCTCAGAATCTCCAGACGTTATCTTACCTAGATTTTTGATTTGCACTCTGAATACGAAGCTGATCTTACAGTACTCTGGCGGTGGCGGTGGCGGTGACGGTGGGGGCAATGATAGTGAGTGATTGCAGGGAGAGCAGTCGTGGTCATCGTCTGTTAGAATCCTTGAGTCAGGCATGCTAAAACTTTATCAAAAAATCCCAAAGCAGAATCTTACGCTACTTCTTGGCCTTAGATCAACGTTCGAGAATAAAGCTTAATAGTAACAGTTTGATAGTGAAACTTGCTTTTAAGCAGGACTATTTATAGATGTAAAAAGTGGCATTAATTATGATCATATTGGGATTAGGATTACGAATTTTTTATTGAAAGAAAAATATATTTAAATTAATCATGAGTATTTACCCTTTCCAAATAGGAGAACAATTTACCAACAATACATGTATGATGTATTGTAGAGGTGACTGATGAGGCAAACTATTTTTGTATATATGGGTGAAAATTAATGATGTATTTTCAAAATTATATAATGTAACTATTGAATTATAGATAAGTTTTTCACATAAATAGTTATGTTTCTTAAAAAAACGACATATTAAATAAATACCTTTAAATCCAAAAATCATAAAACAATTGAAAAATACTAAAACTTAAGAGTTTGAATATGAAAAAAGTTATTTTTTCGTATTGTAGTTTAAAAATTATGACTTTAAGGTATGAATAGTTCTCTTTTTATAAGGTGATAATTGAAATAATACCTTTATTCAAGAATTGTGTCTTATAAAATGTAAAGGTATCTTTAAAGCAAAGAGGTATATTGATGAAATGATTGTGTAAGATACAGTTGCAAGTATATATAAAGAACTTAATGTCAACCATTTTGATACACTAAAAATAAATTAAATAAGAGCAAAAAAATAACAAGCAATAGAAGTATTATATTTTGAAAATAAACACAAATACTTGAGTTTTCATCATTTGGAATTCAAATTCCTTATAATATACTTGTTGCAAGTAGTAGGCTCAAAGGTTGAACTTCCCCTCTTATATCTCCTCTAAGGTGTATTTAATGCTCGTAAAGTATAAAAACGAAATTAGACATTAACTTCATTATATCTTTATGATTATTCACATAATTATCTTTTTGCATACAAAACGGTGAGGCAAAATAAATCTTAACTCGTTTTGAAATCAATTTAACCGATTCTTTAACTTCTATCTAAATCCCATATACACGAACACAAAAATCTTGAATATTGTATTATTGGTGATGGTTATCGATAGCATGAAAGCGTCATTAAAGGCTGAACATAAGTCTTCTATTTAACTTAAAATTAAAAACTTGTTTCAACCTTATATATTGCAAAGACACAGATCATGTTTTTGAAATTACAAAATTACACAAATCGTATCTCCGGGTGTAACATATGTTTTTTTTTAAAAAAATTCTCATAATCATATGTTTTAAAACTTATTAAATTATTAAAAAATCAAACACATATATTGACTAAATCCTCGACGAATTTACCAAAAGTCTCAAATTATAACTTTAATTAAGAAAACAATCTCATAATCAACTAATTAAACCTACACCGGTTGAAATTTGTTGAAGTAAATTAAATTTAAAAAATTGAATTAGAAAATACAAATGATAACATTAAAGTACTTTGATCCTGTAAATAAAGCTATGTTAGTGGAAAATCCAGTCTGCATTCTATAACTATTAACTAATAAAAATAGAGCATGCCTAGCAACAATGAACAGAATTCGCCACATACGGTAAAGTTTTATGCATCACATTACTAAAAATTGCCAATGAAATTTAAACAATGTAAATGCTGTACTTAATTAAATAATAGATGTAATTATGAGTGAAGCAGCACAGGTCCACATCTGCTAACACTCATATTTGTATATATACAATGCCCTACATCTTTTCATGGATGTCTGTGTCTTGCATACCAAGCAACAATGGCTGAAGTGGCTCCTCCATTTTCCAGCCTCTCTCTTCTTTGGCTGTTATCATTGTGTTCAAGTGCTTTGTGATTTTTTGTTGTCTCTAGTTTTTCTTCACACAATTTCTTTATAGTTGTTAGTGTTAGAAAAGAGTGCCTCAAAGGATCGGTTTTTCTCTCTCCTTTTTTTCATTTTTAATGCTTTAATTTTCCTATAAATATGTTAATCATAGTCTAAAAGCTGATAGCCAAGATATATTCAATTGATGCTTGTCCCCAACACCTGCAAATACTTATAAAAAGAATGGTAGTTGAAAAACCCCATAAATCTTAATATATATATATATATATATATATATTCAATTGATGCGTGTTCCCCATTGTTTTGGCATTGAACATCTGCAAATACTTAACTAGACGTGCTTATAAATAAAGGGTCTGCCGAGGAATCACAGCATCAGTGGGTGCGAAAAACTGGAAATGGATTGAAAGCGATGGTTTGCTAATGGTAAGAGTAAAAGAATGCATCATTGTGCACTGAGACCGAAGAGCAGCGACTCATGTGACTGGCAGTTACCATCACCAACCTGAGCCTGACCTATAAAATGGAGCAAAACTCATTTGCTTTCATTAGATTGTAGTCCCTTCTCTCAATTCTCTCTTTCTCCTTGGCTTGATCTTTTTGGGCATCTCCAGGCATGGGTGAAGCTCAACAAGTACAACTCCACGTGATGGGTAAGTGCTCACCTTTCTAGATTATGTACTTTGAAAGATTATCTGAGAAGCGTGACAACAATGTCTGCTTAGTATTCAAAACTAGCTCGGTATATTGCTGCAGAAGGAATTTATTATTTCTGGGAACGGATCCGTACTGAAGCTAACCCAACTATTAATCATTTAAGATGAGCAAGCTTTTATCTGTGTGCCATGATAGCAAATTAATTAGGCTTAAACTCTCTGCTTAGCTAACGTAATTATATATTAATGACACCGAATGACTGTACAATGATGCGTGTCTGCTTTCTGGAAAATCTTTTAGCTACCAAGCATTAAACAGCACATCACTGTCAACTAGAACTAAGTAGAACCATTTAATTAATTATATGCATGCATGGCCGGAAGCTAAAGGAGCAAATTCAACAGGAGCGATCAGCCAAAGAACAGAATCCCGACCTCGGAATTACATGATCAGGTGGCTCCGGATAGCCCTATACGCAATCTTTGTCCTCTGTGGCCAAACATCAGCCGTGCTGCTGACATGACTCTACCATGAGAAAGGTGGAAGTAGCCAATGGATGGGAACAATTGTTCAGATTGTTGGTTTCCCTGTCCTTTTGCCTTACTACTATTGCATTTCACAACCCAAAGTTACCACGCCAAACAACGCCAACACAAAACCACCATCACTCCCAATGCTTGTATTTGTCTATGTATCTATTGGACTACTAGCGGCAGGAAATTCCTTTCTGTACTCGGTAGGTTTTCGGTACCTTCCTGCATCTACAGTGACCCTCATTTCAGCAACCCAGTTGGCCTTTAATGCTTTCTTCTTTTACATCCTTAATTCACAAAAATTCAATCCTTTCATCATCAATTCTCTAGTTCTTCTCACCATTTTGTCCATCCTTCTGGAAGCAAACGGTAACTCTGAAAAGCCTGCTGGAGTCTCTAAGGGAAAGTATGCAGCTGGGTTCGTATGCACCATTTTTGGAGCTGCAACGGACGGATTTTTGCTTGCTTGACAATAGCTGACCTTTCGAAAGGTTCTAAAGAGGCAGACATTTAGAGTTGTCATGGATCTTATAATCTACCAATCACTTGTAGCATCCATTGCTACATTGATAGGATTCTTCGCAACGGGAGACTGGAAAGGTTTAAAGAAAGAAATGGCGGGTATGAACTGGGAAAGATTTCCTATGTGATGATTCTGTTTTGGACTGCTATTGCTTGGCAGATTTTCGCTGTTGGTTCTGTAGCATTGATCTTTATGGTGTCTGCTCTCTTTTGCAACGTCATAGGTGCACTGGGATTGCCGATTACTCCAATAATGGCCATGTTCGTTTTCCCTGATAAAATGAATGGTGTAAAGGGGATTTCAATGGTGTTGGCTATTTGGGGCTTCCTTTCCTATCACTATCAGTACTACCTTGACAATTGCAAAATAAATGCTGAAAATAAAAATGGCAGTACTGAAGTTTCAGAAGCTTGACGCTCCGCATGGCATTCAGGGCTAGCTTCTCTCTCTAAGGAAAGACCAGCGTCTGTCCATATAATCTTCTATTTGCTTTACATGTGAAAACGGGCTGTAGCTAAATTCGTATAGCAAGGAAATAATGAGCTAGCATAATATCTTATCATATTTTGCTTTGCTTTTGTGTGACCGAGGAAGCCTTCATGGTTGGGAAGCTGTAATGTGTTATCAGATTATTCTCCTTCGTTGGGATATGCTATGAAATCGCAATAATGGTTTCCAAGCAATAAAGGAGGATATAACGTGTTTCAGACTAACTAATTTTTGGGATAAAGTGACTGTCGTGGTATGGATTTGCTATATTGGAGTTTTCCATAATTTCCATGTGTTGTTCCTGTAGTGATGAGAGGACAGGAAACAAGAATCAACCAAATATTTTTGAACAAATTAGTGCACATCTTAATCAACCATTTATTTAAATCGTATTTGGTGCAATTATAGAACAAATTAGTGCATTTTTCTGCATAAAATATAGAGCAATATATATATATAGAAAAAGTGGTGCAATTCATATATACTCGAAACAAATAAACAACAGGATTCAATCTCCCGCACCCACACAACAGAAGTCAAATCAAAATATTAAATTAGCTGGGGGTTTTTTTTTTTTTGAACACTATTAAGTTAGGTTGGTTAAAATGCTTTACACGTTGCATTTTATATACCACTACCCAGTAGTATTTAAAGAAGCCGATGACTTCTGAGAAATTCCAAGTGGCTACCAGCCTATTCAATCCTGTAATCATCTGGCAAACATTATTATCTTATACTGTTACACTGCAACATTAACGTCCATTAGAAGACAAATATAATGCAAATCTAAACAGATGTTGAGGGCAGTGTGAGCTAGACTAGTAGCTACCCATGGGGTTATTGGCTTATCTTGTAAGAGAAGGATAACAAAACCGTGACAGATTTGTGGACTCCACACACCGCCTCCTCCTGCTCACTGAAAACGGAATATCCTGCAAAAGCTCATCCCACAAGAGTGTTTCAGTGGCATGAAGGTTATGGATTGGTGGGCTCCAGTCCCCCACGGTTGCCTGCTATATGGCATTGGTTCTTTGTCGCTCCAATGTCCGTTTTCGGCCTTTTAAGGGGCCCTGCTCCTCCCACTGTATTACTCAGACTTTTAAATCTATAATTCTAGAAAGTTGGGCTTGAAACAATGAAACAATCAGACTTAACTTTCAATATAAAAGAGCAAAAGTCATTCCGGCTTACTGAACTAAAGGCCTTGCTTTTTTATTTTTAGCCGAAAGCAAAAATGAGAATGGTCGGGGCAGAAACTAGAGAACCCATGCCCGCTGAGAAGCATAGATGTGAAAAACCCAAGCAATCACAGAAAGACACAGAGTGGGGGCAAAGTGTAATGTGAAACTAGAGATAACTGTGCGTAAATATAAATGATTACAACACCGTTGGCAAAGAGTGTAACTGAGACATCAGACATGAAAACAGAGAGATCAAATTAAAAAGCATATTTTCACTATAAGAGAGAGGGGATAACAGGAAAATAATGAGAAGAACAAGTGAAGGGCAAATCAACTATCCCAATTAGCACACTGTGTTCCTAAGTTAAACAACCAGATAATAAATAAGTAAATACAACCTCGTGGCACAGGGCAGTAGCCAGTCAAGGTCTCTTCAGACCTATCAATGATGATACATATAATTATTCAATCGCAAGAATGCCTTTGATTGGCCACTTTCAAACTCACTACAAGACCCTGAAAAACCAGGAGGTGACAAGATTAGTAGCTGTTTTGCCATAACTGTTGGGTCTGCTTTGATGGCTGGCCTTGAGTCCCACTCAGGGATCCATCCCTAGGGTTTTGCTGCTGATGGTCCAGTGATACTGCCGTTTGTGAATGATAGAAATTTGGGTATCCCAGAGCCCCAAAATGCTGTGAAGGCTGTTGCCCTTGTCGAAATCCACCAGCCTGCTGATTCTGCCCCTGGAAGCTGTAATATGTGCTTGCAGGAACAGCAGACATTGTTCTTGACCCAGGGCCGTGAATCCACATTGCTGAATTCTCATTCTTACCAAAGAAACAAATAAAGGAAAAGGCCCACTTCAGTATCCAAGCAGCAGAAAAGAATAAGAAATAATTTCATATATACTGTCGAAGTACAATTTTTATGAACTAAGTACACGAAATCATGAACCCTTGGGAGTAAAGGGAGAAAAAGGAAGGGCAGACTTTTCATTATTACTCCAACACCATTCCATAAGAATGAATGCAAATTATTCAAACGCTATTATTCCATAGTAATGAATGCAAATTATTCAATTCAAATGGGATCTCTCAATGCTTGGTACACAATTACCTGTTGAAGTGACATCAAATGATTGCTGTCCTTATACTGAGAACTCAGAACATCATCGTAGCCAATAGTTGTGCCGGTGGGTGCAGTAGGTGGATTCAGAGGAAGTCCTCCAGGAATGCTGGTAGAACTCCCAAACCCATAGCCAGATGCAACAGCAGCAGATTGAGGCAAGCTGCTAACAGAAACACTATTTTTGTATTGGGGGAGCACTGCTGCCAGGGACTGAGGGTAGGTACTATTACCAGCAAATGCCTGCTGGAAAGCTGATGGCATATATGTGTAACTCTGAGGTAAGAAAGGATAACCAATCATGTTGGCAAAATGTCCCAACGGAGCGTAGGTTGGGAAAAGGGTGCATGGCCAGATGCTGGGGAGAGCAGGTCCCGTGGCACACTGGCACCAGGTAGGGTCTGTGGAGTAGGCTGTGCTGCAGAATACTACCTGCTTCTTAGAGCCTGCACAAGTACAAGAAGTTACTCAGGAAAAAGAACGATTAGTTCTTAACATTATAGATTTTTTAAGTTGGGTTTCCAAAGGGCTTCTCTCTCATTTTTCCCCTTTTCACCAATCCCATCCCCACTTTCTATTGTTTTAGGTTGGTTGAGTGTTTTGCTCCTCTTCTGAAACTAACATGACCACATAACAAAACAGACGAAGGTAGTAAATGTATAACTGGTAGAACAAGTGGCATAATTAAGGACGACAAAAAGTGATGGGCTGATGGCCAAGAAATACCCAAGGGTCACAGTTCTATATTCAGGGAAGGACAATGCATAAAAAACCAATGTTTGAGGATGTTTTCATTTACCACGAAGTATTGAGTTTTTACAGCCAAAACTCATTCAGTCAATATAGGCATGACAGCACATGCTTAAGACACTTAAGTTTCAGTCAAAATGGACATACAACAGCTCCATATGTCGTAAGTTTTCCATTTTAGTTCAGTAAAATCTTGAAATATCACCAATACAAGTTATTTTGTCCAGCTATACCCAGCACCTAGAAACGGACTCAGTCAACTGGGATTAGTAGGTCTCCCAATATTGATTTGCTCCATAAATGGAGCTGGAGTGATCTACCCAGATGCCAATTAACCAAAATGCTGAATAAAATAACAAAAGTAGCTTAAAATTGCAAGGATATAGGATATTTATTTTATACTTATCTTCATCCCAACTCTTAGCTGTCTCTCATTTCTCTCTTTTTAAACAAACCAAAATCAAACGTGCACAGTAACTTCTCCCAAGTTTTCTCCCTCCTTTTTTTGTCCCTCCATTTAATTCATAATTATATGGTCATGCATGTGCAATTGCAGAGGCTATTCTATAAGTTTTTTTAGAGGAAAAATGAAAAGAGTAATAATTTTTTCTCTCTTCACCCTTAAATTGTTAAAAGACGGTCACCATTTGACTAGAAATGCAAAAAGTGTAACAAACATCAAGAAAATCATAAGTTATAGCAAAGGGCACCTCTGGCATAGAGATGGTTGGACCACTAATGGAAGAGGCTGTATTGCTGTATTTTGTTGGCATGGACTGAGTCACAGGGAAGGGCGAGTATGGAAGATCAGGCTCCCTTGCAGTCTGAACAGTTGAGGTCAGCAAAGTGCTTGGTAATGAATTTGTATACGATTGCTGTAATGAAAACCATTATCATGAGAAGAGACATTCAAGAAAAGTAATACTGTTTTTCTAAGAACATAGTTGGTTAATCGAAAATTACTTCACATAATGTCAAATATCCTTTTTTCAGTACAACAGGGTTAAATCTTTTCTTGAAAATGAAACCTAGATCAACAAGATGTGGCTATCAACCAGATATTTCTACAAAAAATAATCTTTCTAATCCAACTCTAAAACATATGGTTTGAATTTGGAATAATAAATTTTATGCATTAACAGTTAAGTCTAATTACCATTACACTTGAGAAAGGAGTGAGGCTTTGCATTTGAGAGCTTGTCTGTGGATGTGTGAAAGCGGGATTTAACTGTTGAGAGTTTTCATAGCTATAACCAGCTGCAGGTGAAGGAAATGTATATTGGCTCACTTGAACAGCTTCAGAAGCATCCTGTTTCAAAACCTCTGGTTGAGAATCTTCAGGAGCCTCATAATTCCCAGTGCTGACATTACTTCTATTTATTATGTTTCCCTCTGTGTTATTTCTGAGATGTTCATCCCCGTAATACTCAGGATTTCTGCATGCAAAAATTTTTACCACAATTTGAAAAAACAAAAAGGTAAACAAGGCAAATTAAAATCTTAAGAAGAGAATACCTATTGTCTGACTGCCCAATAGATGAGGCATCTGTTGCTTCAGGAGCCTCATCCAAATTATTCTTTAAAGACCTTGATGCAAAAGGTGCAGAAAAGGTAGAGCCAATGCCAGATCCAAAACTTCCAAAACTCAAATGTGAGCAGTCAGGGGTGTGGACTTGCAGGTGATTTGGAATTATTACAGAAGGATTATCCTCTTCAGGTGATGGCTCCCGATCATCATTATGTAAATTAAGCTGCTGCAAATTCACAGCAACTGATGAAGCACCATCTTCAGCTGAAGAAAGAATAAAATAAGACAGAAACAATGTTAAGTCTACAAATATTTCCTAGCAGAAAGCAGTGTGCAAAGGAAACATTAAATGATTAAACATTAACTTCAAATCAAGGAAAGGACTATATAGTAGGAAAGAAAAATAGCTAAGTCTATATTGTTTAGTGAATCACAGCACGTACAGGTGCAGCTTTAACTTCGGAGAAAAAACCCTCAAAAAAGAGGGAGCCAAGGAAGGTAAAAGCATTTGATAGACCTCCCCTACCTGACTCACCCTTCTCTATTCCCAATTGCTTTCCTCCCATCCAATTGTATATAGTGCTCAGGCTCACAAATCCAATCAGCATAAAAAGAGGAAACTCTAAAATGTTTCAGAAGCTAGGGACACATGATATTTTCATAGGGGGAAGAGACAAGAAAAGCTTCACTCAACAACCCTAAAAAATAAATATCCACATTGCAAGACAATCAGAAATGGGTGCTTATCAAAAGAAATTGCAAAATTGCAATCAGATTATGCCTTCATCATTAATGTATCCTTCATAAAGAGTGATACATTCATTTAAAGCACAACACTGACCTTCATCAAGAATTGCAAAAACTGAAAAGTTGTAGTGATTTAAAGCACTACACTAACCTTCATCATGCTCAAAAGCATGTCTTTGAGGCTGATAGGAATTCATATCCTTATATAAGCTATTATCAAAAAGCGATGAACCTCCAGAATCATCCTCTTGTATATTTCTACTTGAAATAGAAGGAGATCCAACATGGTTTGCATTGAGAGTTTCAACAGGACCATCATCCACTGCCTGAGCTTCCTCTAACTGGGACTTTATGTGTTGATTAGTTCTATCCAAAGGCAAGTTAGATGCATTTGCATACAGTCCAGAGTCTGCAGGTGCCTCTAAGACAGAGGTCACACTGGCAGCAGATGGGTTCTCAATGGGGGGCCATTCATCACTTGGAGGAACATGCTGGTTTGTGGTGACATCAGGCTCGTAAGTTACATCTGACACCTTGGAAGCATGATCCTGTGGTGAATGTAGATTGGGATGTGATGCTGCCAAAGGAGGTACCACAAGATGCCGATTGTTAACACTTTGATGAGGTGGGTTTGGCATGCCAGAAGCCTTGTTTTGTGGCCTGCCCATCTTCACAATATCAGCCATTGATACTTGACCTGGAACCCCCAGCCAAGCAGATTGATATCCAGAAGACTGTGATGATAAAGAAATCCCATCACCTAAAACTACTGTAGACATTTTATGTTCTGTGACCACTGCTTCACTGCAACACCAGCAGAACTTACATGAGAAAAAAGTAGCCAACACATGAAAAATATATCAAAATTACAATGTTTAAGAAACAAACAAATAGAACTTTATACCATCCCAAGATAAAGAAGAAGAAAATAAAACTCAGCCAGCTAATAAGTTCTAAAACTTCTTCCCCATGAAAAAGAAACACATATTTATTAAAAAAATGAAGTGTCACATGCGTTTGGATGCGTCAAGTCCAAAACCCAGGTACCATCATTTGTGAGCATTTGGACCATTAGGGTTCCATCTGTTCTTGCTAAACTAGCCATCTTTGATAATAAGCAATTCAAACACATAAACTCAGTGAGGCCAAATAGATATCATTATTCTAATAGAATCCAATTACATGCAGGCAAAAGCATAAACATGACCCTCTTCTGGTTGTTATAACTCATAGCTGCTTTTCAGCTCCTTAACTGGACTAGACAGAGAGAAACTATCACTTTTGAGATTTTAACAGGAATTACCTGTGGGATGGAGGTCGTCGATTCAGGTTATTTCCTGGCATACCAGACGCTGAAGATGAAGAGCCTGCATAAGCATGAGTTCCATTTTCTCTCTTTTGTGCAGGTTTACCGTGCGAAGGGCCAGACTCTAACCGAAAAAAAGAATACTTAATGGATAAAAAATCATCAAAAATAGTTGCAAAACAATTTTTAACTCAAGTATAAACTAAAATCTTGTCCAAAGTTGCATCAGAGCATGTTCATAATCATACCATGAGCACTGTAATGGGTTGAGCCACCGCGTCCAATATATCGGTCTGGACCACTTCTACCACCACGATTCCCAAGATTATTGGCACCACGAGATCTGGAATCTATTGTATCCTTGCCCTGGAGAAAAAGGAGAGAAAAACAAGTCAAAAAAGATAACAAGAAGCAACATAACCACCAAAGAGGGAGTTCCTAATCAGTGAGAAGTAAATCAGATTATACATTCATTTGAAATGCTGAAAGTAACTGACAATCTGACATGATGGATGACCTATATGACTGCAATTATGCCCATTATTATTTAACTAATGTAACTATAAGAGGAAACAAAAACAGTTTACTGCAATCACAAAAGCAACTGTTTAACATAATTTCCACCAGCATGCACCTCTTTTTTCTTGTCTCGTTTGCTCTTCACCTCATGAAAAGGATCTGCACATTTCACAGAAATCTTATTAGAAATGAAATAGAATACCATTGGAAGCGCCAAACTTCAGCAGCCCTACTGTTATGAAACAAAGCAACATATATTTTTGCAACCAATTAAGAGAACAGAAGTCAGGGTTTTATTAAGACTAAAGCATTATCTTTACCAAATATACAAGTCTTTTGGCTTCTACTTTTAAGTTTCAATGCAGAAAACATAACAATCACTGCATGGAACGCACAAATAAAATTTTCCAGCTTGTCGCAGTAAATGGTTAACAACGTTATTGCTGGGAAAAACTGTAGCTATTGCACTTCCAGTAAAGAAATGTTCATGGATACATTCATTAATAGTGAGAGAGGGGCTGATTTAATTTAAAACAAAAAAATATGAGAGCAAGACAAACTAAACAACATATAACACCTCCATATAATAAAACCTTGGAAATAAATAGGCATTAACAGTTAAAGCAGATTTTATCTTTTCCTTACTCAAACGCCGAATCCCAGAAACCCTGCAGTTACCCTTTTGCATAATGAAAATATTCTTTCTAAAACACAGGAAATAAAACCATAAAACTGATGATAAAAAAATGGAGTATCGGAAAATAAAAATAGAAAGAAAGAAAAAAGGGCGGGGGACCT